TGAGTTCTAGTCCCGCCTTAGCCACGAAAGCTGGCTGGGTGACTTTGAGCCAATCACCAGGAGACTGGGAATTCTAGTCCCACCTAGCCATGAAAGCCGGCTGGGTGACTTTGGGCCAATCACCAGGAGACTGGGAGTTCTAGTCCCGCCTTAGGCATGAAAGCCGGCTCGGTGACTTTGGGCCAATCACCAGGAGACTGGGAATTCTAGTCCCACCTTAGCCATGAAAGCCGACTGGGTGACTTTGGGCTAATCACCAGAAGACTGGGAGTTCTAGTCCCGCCTTAGCCATGAAAGCCAGCTAGGTGGCTTTGGGCCAATCACCAGGAGACTGGGAGTTCTAGTCCCGCCTTAGGCATGAAAGCCAGCTGGGTGATTTTGGGCCAATCACCAGGAAACTGGGAGTTCTAGTTCTGTCTGAGTCATGAAAGCCAGCTGGGGGACTTTGGGCCAGTCACCAAGAGACCATGAGTTCTAGTCTTGCCTTAGCCATGAAAGCTGGCTGGGTGACTTTAGGCCAGTCCCTTTCTCTCAGCCCAACTCACCTCACAGGGTTGATGCTGTGGGATAAAGTTGGAGGAGGAAGGAGTGTTAGATAGGTTTGCTGCCTTGAATTACTTGTAAAAATAATAAAGGCAGGATATAAATAAAAACAAAAAGAGAGGCTGTGTGCCTGGGCAAATGGCCATTGAAGCTTTGAGGCAGCTGAGTCAGTTCGACACATCGAATCGATTTAGTGCTATATTAGTGTTTTGCCTCAGTGGCTTTCAGATCGATGCTTGGTGTGGGCCACACTCCTTGCTGATGCGTGCTTTGCTAAATAGTCTACAGATACGGCTTGCTGGGCCCTGCAGTGCCAAAGCCTTCAAAGGCTCAACAGCCAAATGATTCCAAGATACTTTGATACACAAGAATGAAACAAATCCTACGACAATGTTAGGGTCCGGTGTGTACTTTATCGGTTCTTTGACCCGCGCCTGACTAAAATATAAGGGAGAGGCTATCTCTATGTTGCAGATCCAGAGAATGTGGTTTCCTCCCGCAAAGGGTGTGTTAATCTAAACCCATGGAATATAGTCAACCGAGCAAATTGCTATTCAGCTAACCATGGTTTCTCACTGTGTAAGCACAGCTCTTATGTACCTGCCTTTGCTATTTGACCACGAAGGACAACAGGCAAATACAGGGTTGTCCTGTGTAGCTGGAAAAAGCTGGAAGAGTGGCTCTAATTTTTTACTCTTCTATTTCTTTTTTTAACAAGCAAGTTAAGTTAGAGGGATGTACATATGTGTGTAAGTAGGTGTTTGTGTGTGTTTTTGTGTGTTTGTGTGTGTGTGTGTGTGTGAGAGAGAGAGAGAGAGAGAAAGCAAGAGCAAGAGAGAGAAAGACATTTGCAGAAAAAATATAAATGTCCAGACTGAATTCTCTTTTCCCCTCTTTCTTAAAACTATCTCTATGCTCTACCTATCTACCTACCTACCTTTCCCTTTTGATGCAAATCCAATATTTCTCACTGCAGTATTTGGCAATAGAGGATATTTCCAGACCAACTCCGCTATAAAATAACTAGCTCATGCCACAGCTTGAAATACTCCAAATAAAGTAGACTTCCTCAGCAAGAGAGAGAGCATAGAGCTGTATGAAAAATCTTCCCGAAAGCAGGCGGGAGCTTAAGCTGGCTGCTTTTACATTCTTTGTGCTGGTTTAAAGTGGCCAACGTGCTTGTTCCAGGTCAGATTCGCAAGAGTCACAAAACAGCACCCAAGCAAGAAATCTATGTTCAGCAAGACACTGCTCAGTTGCTGGCATGGTGCATTTCATGTAATAGCTCTGTTGCCCATAAAATGCAACACTGTGATATACCTCACATAAGGAGTCCCTGGTGCTTTCTAAGCTTGGTTATTTTCTTAAAAATCTTTCGTGCTAGCACTGATGACATTACCTAGTTGGGTCATGAAATGTCTGCAAGAAAACAACCCAGCTCAGAGAGCACCAAGAACCTCACAGTCCTCCTCCTCCTCCTCCTCCTCTCCACACACCCCACTCTCCTCTAGCACTGATGACATTACCTAGTTGGGTCACGAAATGTCTGCAAGAAAACAACCAAGCTCAGAGAGCACCAAGGACCCTTCAGCTCAACTCTGAGCTACAAAAATTCTCTTCTCTTGATATCTAACCATGGTTAATGGGAAGAATCCAATGACCTGAGATTGCATAGTACATTGAATCATAAACTAGGGTCATAGGCTGGTTTCAGTTCCCACATCAATAAATTAATCTAGCCTTTTACTTAAAGCTAGCTGAGGAGGCACAAAAACTGGCTTGGAGGCATAATTATAGTGATGTTTCCCTTACAGCACTTATTGACCCTTCTCCACACAAATATGCTGTTGTCTTTTTTTTTGCCCTGATTTTTAAAATATGCACCAAAACTTCTATGGAGTCTCTTTTTCATCAAAAATAAAAAAAAATTGGATCGTCAATACAGGGAAGGTTATTTTTTTTGTAACCCAGTTTAGGAATACTCGAAGGAGAGAAAGCCAGAAGATAAGATTATTCCCTTTAATTGAAGTTGCCTGTGGTTAACAGAAAGCAAGGCCGGAGAACATCCAAAACACAAAGACGGATTTCTCCTTTTTGTTCCAAGCGGTGGCTTATCGAAGAAACCATAATCAATCAGGCTTACCTAAAGTCTAAGGCTGTAAACTGTGAAAGTCGAAGTACAGACGACGAAGAAATATCTTGTTACCAAAAATAAGGGGGGGGGAGAAAGTGCAAACCAACCGATTTTATTCCAACCACTCACCTCCAGCTTTGTCAGCTTTATGTGAAAAAACAAGTTCCTCCCATGAAGGTTTTAAAAGTTTTAGTTCTTGGTTCTCGCCCATCCATGTTATAGATGTAGGTCATCATTGATGGCCTTAATATTTCCTAATGAAGAGGACTTGACTCATAAGTGGTATGAAGGATATTTATGACACATAAGGATCCTGGTTTTCCTTTTGCATGCCACCGTATTCCAAGCGCAGAGATTTTTTTTCCTTTTCTTTTTTTCCTGTGTCAAAAGCGCCAAAGCGCTTCTGTGGTAAAAGGATTTGCTGGTGACATCACCACTATCCAGGGGATGCCCAGTTGAGGGTTCCTTTCACGTCCCCATGGAACTACCCACTGAACTTGTACCCATTCATCTCCTCGTATTCGCCCACTTTTGAACCCCTGGGCCAGGAGGAGCTAGAGCAGTGGTTCTCAACCTTTCTAATGCCGTGACCCCATAATACAGTTCCCCATGTTGTGGTGATCCCCAAGTGGGTCCCTCCCCCAATAAGAGGGAGTAGGACAGCTAGGGAAAAGGGAAAAAAATGGCGGACAGTGTGGTTTGGCGACCCCCGTGAAATGGTCATTCGACCCCAGATGGGGTCCCGACCCACAGGTTGAGAACCACTGAGCTAGAGCATGTGACGGGAGCCCACCCTACCTCACAGCAGCAACGGGTTTCAAACACAAGGCTGCTGATAGTCAGCCCAGCATTCTAACCTCATGAGCCACCAAACTCTATAACACAGAGATGCATCAATCAATCAATCAATCAATCAAATAAATAAATAGTTCCTCTCTTGAGTTAAGATCAAAGGACTTAACTTGTGGACTCAACCCATTATTGGCCTTCTTATGCTATTCTCTTCTTGGAAGGTTTTTGACTGGCTAATCTAGTCTAGAACCCTGGGATTTCTTTGTGGTTCCGGATCCGAGTGCTAAGACAACCTACCTCATACTGAGTAATGCAAAGTATCCCAAACGACGTGACGCCTGTCTTGAAGAGGAAGCCCTCAAACCAGCTAACCCTGTTTGTTTGTTGTTTGTTGAATGTCTACGGAGATTCTCAGTCATCCAGGCGATTGTCCCAAAGGTGCTTTTTCCCAAAAAATAAAAATCAACTGGACTTTCTTGTTTTTTTCTTTGAAACTGCCAAGAAAATCCAGTTGCCTTTGGGAAAAGCATCTTTGGGATTCCAGGAGATTGCCAAGTTGAAATTCCATGGCCCAAAGTGAGGAATGCTGGGAGTTGTAGTTTATTAAGATCTATGTTAATAACATAGTAACATGTTAATATCATTGTAGTTTATTAACATCTATGGCCACGTGTTTCTATCCCTGCCATAGATGAGGTGTATGGGTGTTCATTTAAGAGAATGAATGAGAAGGATGTTTACATAGGCATGCAGCCAGGAAACCGTGTTGTGCTTTCAACTGATGTGATCCTTTGAATGGGGTGGAGATGGGGGGGGGAGGTCTTCTGGGTCTTCTCCTGCCTCACTTTCTATGGCAAATGTACAAATTGGCATCTAGAAACTCACTGGAGGTGGTGGGGGTGGGGGATGGAGAAAGAGAGAGACAGAGAAACTGATTTTATGCAAAAGCGTGCCATGGATTTTAAATGCTGTCTCTTTCATTTAAGGTAACGTTATATGATGTATTCCCACTTATTTTATAATTCACGGGTTCCTGGACTGCAGAATAAGCTTAAAGGGAAGCTGAACCTCTAGAGAGCCCATTGTTAGTAAATCTAATTTTTTTTAAAGCTCCATAAAACCATTCTCCCATTACAACCCATCTTGACTCGAAAAATAAACCTCATCAATTTCAAGAGGCCTTTTGCTAACAAGCCAAAATTAGAATTGGAGAGAGGAGGGGGGGGGATGCAAAATTGCAGTCAGGCAGAGCTGGATAAAATAAATGGAGTTTAGCAGCAGGTAAGCTTAACCAAGATTTGAACTCTGATGCAAGAGAAAAAAGAAAAAAAAAGAGGTTGCTTTCTAATTTCAATTTTTGGGGTGGAAGAAGTATGTATGTCAGGGTCTGGATGTCCAGATGGTATAAATATGGATTGCTTTCTTTTTCTGTTTTGTTTTGTGTTGTTTTTTGTTTAACAAGCCACTGAAGTTGCAGAGAAAGATCCCTTAGGATGATAGCAGGGGAGGTTATATATTTGACAGCACCGGGCGACAGGGCTGTGTGTGAGTGTGCGCGAGAGACCGAGAGACAGGGAGAGAATCTAGCAGCAGATGCTTGCTTGGAAACTGAGCTGAATGACTTGTTTAAGATCTGACCTCATCCTTTCCCCCAGAATGGATTCACCCCACCGCTACAGTGAGTGAGATTCTTCCTCGAGTGGCAGAACTGTGGAAAGACCTGCAAAGACAGGACGAAAAGGAGAGAAGCAAAGTCAGACCTTAGGAAGACATGCTTTTCTATCTGAGGGGATGGAGACCAGCGACTGAGCAACTCAGAAGATAAACAGGATCCTATTTCCTTTTCTTAGAATAACACACACTTTTTTTTTTTGCTTGCTTCCTTGCTTGATTTCTGGACTGCCTTTCCTTTTATATATATATATATGTATATATATATATATATATATAAAACCTTCGGCTTGCCAAGATGTCAGTCTCCGGAAAAAAGGAATTTGATGTGAAACAGATCTTGAGGCTCCGCTGGAGATGGTTTAGCCATCCGTCTCAGAATGCCACCAGCCCCGGAGTCTGGCTGCAACAGGAAGGATATGAACACCGAGGGACCTCAGTTCAAAACAGGCTGAAGAATCACTCCTGGGACAGGAGTCGGCTGAAAAAGAACAGCAGCCCTCTTCATCCTAACCTCCTGGCGCCAGGACCCAGCCTGACCCCTTTACCCCAGCAACCGGCTTCTACCTGCCCCCAAGAGAGCCTTCCCACACCTCTGCAGGTAACTGAGGAGACGCCAAAAACAACGGGAAGCCCAGATCTGGCCGAGAAAGGAGAGGGCCACAGAAGCAGCCAGGAGTTACAGATGATTACCGAAGAGGACAGCAATGAGTCGGCCAAAAGGTAATCCTTTTTTGACTTCACCATTCAAACATCTGCAGTTCAAACTCTTGCACCTAAGAATAATCAGTTTGGTGGGAATCTATCCCAACGTCTTAGGGTAAGATATGTAGAGATTAACAGCAGTGTGATGACTCAAGATCAAGTACACCTCCTCCCAAAAGTCTACACCGAAGTGTCCAACCGTGACAACTTCTTTAAGACCTGTGGACTTCAACTCCCAGAATTTTTCTGGCTGGGGAATTCTGGGAGTTGAAGTCCACAAGTCTTAAAGTTGTCAAGGTTGGACAGCCCTGGTCTACAGTCTAGAATTGGACTCCAGAACTACAGTGAAGGGAGGGTTTGAAGTCAGGAGAGGAAAAGAGGACAAATTCATGGCTGAGTCATACACACACACACAACCTGAAGGGGTGGAATTAAAGCCAGGTATCCAAAGCATTGGCTCTAGAAAAGATGGGCTTTCGACCCAGTTCCTTGCTCTTTAAATGAAACTAAACTGAGTTGAAATACTCACTTCCTCTGTAGCAATGTAAACAAGGCATTAAAAAAAGGGTTTTTTTTTTTTGTGCTGTGCAAAATTGGGTTGTGTTTTGTGCCTTGTGCGGGGGTGGGGTGGGGAATATTCCTGCTTCATTTGTTTCTATCCCTCGCTTCTTCTCCTAGCGTTTTCAATAGCTCTACAGAGCATTTGATCTTCGGTAAATAAACCAGCTGCCAATTGTCCTTTGTAGACATTTGAATGAATGGAACACATTGGGATCCCCGGCTCTATAGACTCCGACATATTTACACCTACACCAACACACACACACTACACACATACGCACTATATTTGTACAGATGCATGTACACTTCCTGCTTTTGATCTTGCTGCAGCTGTCCATTGCCTCATTGATAAAATATAATTAATCTTGAACTGGGCTGAGATACAGCTTTACAAAGGTTTACTGTACTTTCAAACTGTGTTCATCTCCAGGGCAGTGTGTTGTAAGATGAAGCTAAGGCTGCTCTCTATTGCAGAATTGCACACTTAAGTTTGGACTGAGCTTCTTGGAATCAAGTTAAATGGTCTTCAGGATTCAGTAGGACTTGAAATGTGTGACAGGGCAAACTTAGTGGGCAACAACTTTGCTGTTAATGAGCAATAAATCCTGTTCAGGATTCTCATATACCCACAGTTATCTTTGTGCTTCTTTGTTATCCACCTACCAAATCCTATACTAAATTTGAGGGATCAAAAATTTCCCTTTATGGGTATGATAAATGTTTTTTTATCATACCCATATTATTATTTGACTGTGTTTTTACAGCAGTCTTCTCAATTATTAGCAAATCAGGATCATTACTTCTGCCCCTCTTTTGATAGTTCACATTTTGCTGGCAAACAGGAAATGTCAGGAAGGGATGAAAACGTGAAATCAAAGATGGATGGATTAGGGTAATTTTTGTCTTCACAAGACCAAACCTTGCAGTCTGTCACAAGCCTGGATAGATAAAAGAAAGTACTTCTATTCGTTTTTCAGGCAAGCTGAAGGGACTCCCTGCCACAAGCCATTAGATGGCTTTAAAAACAGTCAAATTAATGACTAGCTGTTCATTGATAATTCAATGCACTGTGTAAATCCAGAAAAATGAGTTAGTTCAGTAAGGGGATTGTCTGATGTGAAGGCAGCCAGTGACTTAAACACTAGCAAAAATCTTTAATTTCAAGGCAAAATTGGGACATCTTAGACTTCCATGGTATATCGGTGGCAGGGCTGGTGCATGATCCAAGCCAAAACTCTTTTGTTCATGTATGTACCAAAGCTTGGTCCATGATAACATTCATATCACCGTGCAGGTTTGCCCTCTGTGGGCGCCATTTTGCTTTGAATGATCATGAGAAATAGCCACAAAGTTTTGGGTACATAACTGGTTGCTGTGCCTGCAGGATGCTGGGCTACAGAGACGTGTCACTTTATTTTGCAGTACTGTAGATAACCGTCCATTATAAATGCTACTTTTATTGCCATTCTGGATGGCTTTGTAGCAGGCAGCTCCAACAGGGTACAGTAAGTCTTGGTGGAAAGCCTTATGAAGCTTCACGCAGGCAAAATGTTCTGATGGTTTTAGAAGATCATCTGAGAATGATGTCATCCGTTTATCCAGAACCTCCCTTGAAGTTTTCTTTTGTTTTGAGTCACTTTTCAGGAATTCCCTTTCCCTGTTGGTTTGCCAAAACTGGAGCGTTTCCAGGAGAAATAGAAAAGTAGAAAAACTTGGGAACTGATCTGACTTTTGAAGAAGTCAATGAAACCTAAGGCTTGTCTACTTCAACGTTATTTTCTCTCAATCAGAAACTTGTGAGATGTAGACTAAGGAAGCATTGAGGCAACAGTTGTCTCATGGGTCAACCTTTCCACTGTTTCTTCTCAGTTCAAAAGGACAATTAGGAGGTGAACTCCACTAGTGGATTCGTCTACCCCAAAGAAGTAGGAGTTTTCCCACCCGTTTCATCCATCGGAAAGCTAGAAGGGTAGAGATGTAGCCATAAAGACGTGAATAAACTTGAAGCTTTAATGTCAAACAGACCCAAGAGGTTCACGACTAGAGAAGTTCAGATACTGATCAGATGTGTGGATTGTTGCTTCCTGCAGACAAACCCGTTTAAATTCCAGGTCACATCTGTGTTTTCTGTACAGGTGACACTGAATTGGACCCACAAGCTAATAGAAGCGTAAGCTTATTTCAGGCTCCAGTAATGACTGCTAATCAGCATCCAAATAAGGTCAGGGTTGACTATGCAGAAAATCATTAAATCCTGAATCTGCAGACTATCAGTACAAGACCGAGAAGGTTAAATGTACACGAACCTTACTTTCAGAAAATAATGCCCACAGACCCGTGACAGTTTCAGCTTCTATTTTCTCCGTGGGAGATGATCAGATCAATAGTTTATTGTGCTTTTATCTATAACAAAAGGGAGACACGTGAAGAATGTTTATTAAAGTTAGAACACTGACATGCTTTTTTAAATTAAAAAAAGGTCTATTTTCCCCCTCCCCCATTTGGAATAGCAATTTACCAGGAAAACCATTTTGGCTTATTGTCACAAATACTTATGATCAGATCTTTAGTTTTCATGAGATGTTCTCAAGGGAGAGAAAAAAAAATAAAATCTGGGCCATGAGGTAAAAAGCAAGAGATGATTGTTTCTTTGGAGTCAGCTAGGCTTATTAGAAAGAGAACCGTGAAATATCCAGGAGTTGAAGTCCACAAGTCATAAAAGGGCCAAGTTTGAAGACCCCTGACTGATTTAAGACACTGAGATAGTGGCACAGCTGGTCTCCCAGAGTTGCTGGAAGTTTTCAAGAAAAGATTGGACATTCATTTGTCCAGGATAGTATAAGTTCTCCTGCTCGAAACAAGAAGCAATGGACGGAAACTAATCAAGGAGAGAACTGACCTAGAACTAAGGAGAAATTTCCTGACAGTGAGAACAATTAATCAGTGGAACAGCTTCCCTTCAGAAGTTATGGATGCTTCATCCCTGAAGGTTTTTAAGAAAAGACTGGACAGCCACTTGTCTGAAATGGTGTAAGGTCTCCTGCTTGAGCAGGGGGTTGGGCTAGAAGATCTCCAAGGTGCCTTCCAGTCCTATGATTCTATAATTCTAGCTGGACACTGAATCCAATGATTTTCTGCTCTCTATGACTAATAAGCTAGACCTGTGGTATAAACAGCTGAAGGAGCAGAAGGAGCACAGAGAAAGGACAAAAGACTTAATAGGGAGTAGCAGACCTATCCGAAGGGCATATGCTTGCATTGCTAACAGATGGTTTAATTAAGTGGTGAAAGTCTTTAGTATGTTGAAAGAGAGAAAGAGCTGAGAAGGAGCTCTTGCCCCAAAGACGGGCAGAGGTCAACCCATTCTCCAAAGCACCTGAAGGCAGGACAAGAAACAGTGGATGGAAACTCATCAAGGAGAGAAGCAACCTGGAACTAAGGAGAAATTTCCTGACAGTGAGAACAATTAACCAATGGGACTTCTTGCCTCCAGAAGTTGTGGGTGCTCCGTCACTGGAGGTTTATAAGAAGAGATTGGACAGACATTTGTCTGGAATGGCATAAGCCTCCTACTTGAGCTGGGGGTCAGACTAGAAGACGTCCAAGGTCCCTCCCAACTCCATTATTTCGTTATTCTCTTAACTATAAGGACATACAATATTTGGGGTGCACAGGATGCTGGCGATCTTCCTTTTGATGCATAATTGTTCATCGGTCCAGCTTGTCCAATCAAGAAGAGAATATGGCCGTGGGGGAAGAGTTTTGGACAAACAGAATCCTCTTCCACCCCATTTTAATGGTTGAATAATGAATGCATAACCATTAGACCCCCATGCTGGCAACAGGGAAAGACTTAGTTTGCTGCATACTACCATTTCATTCCTCAACTCATTCCATACATAGGTGTGCCTGTAGTTGATCTGCAGATTAGAGAGAATGTGTAGAAAAATGTTACACTGGGCAGTTTCCCCAGAAGCACCTTACAGTGGAAATTTCTGCAGCCGCAGGCAGGATGGATGCAAATACTTAGAATACTCGTTTCTTGTCTACCAATTAATCCCAAATTTCAAGCTAGGCAACATTTTCTAACAACCTTTCTACTACATCCATGCAGCCTTCCTGCCATATCTTGGCTTTCCTTTCTTTCCAGGACAGGAATTTTTCTCAGGACCCGATTTGTAGAACTGATACTCAATTCCCCATTGGAAAAATTACAATTACAATCGATGTATAGGGATTGATTGATTGATTGATTGAATGAATGATTGATTAACTTTATGCTATCCATCTCTCCCACAAGGTGAACCTGGATGGCTTGCAAATTATAAAACACACAAAAATAATTAATAGTTCCTTTCTCTTAGAAAATGCAGTCATTCACATCCTCATTTAAGCCAGATTTAACTTCAGGTTTTTCTATTTCTTTTTTTTTGCTTCTGTTTTTCTGTCCACCTCAT